TCACTACTCACCTCAGTGCTCCCTCCAGCCTGGCTCTGCATCTCTTCCACCTGTTTCTCTGCAGCTCATGCTTCTTTTCCTTGCCCTGCACCGGCCCCCCCACCGGCCACCGCGGGGGCGGCGGCCGGGGCACCGCGGCTCGGACAGGCCTTAATCAAATGTCCCTCTTAGCCACATCCGAATCATTTCACAGTGGATGATGTCGCAAAGAGGATGTACTCGAAATCATCGACACACGGACTCTGAAGCGATAATCAAACTAGTCAGTGCTACCTCCTCCACCCTGCACGGAGAGCCGGCTCCGGTTTTAATGCCGTGCTTCCGAGTCAGCCTGGAGAAAACGCTGCTGGACGCCTCAGAACGAGGAGAGAGAGAGAGAGAGAGAGAGAGGAACAGAGGAGAGAGAGAGCAGGAGGGAGAGAGAGAGAGAGAGAGAGAGAGAGAGAGATGTTAAGTCACTACCTTGTGTTGAAGTGTCATCCTCTGCAGTCTTATTATTCCCTTTGCTTCCTTTTGATTTTGTTGAATATGATATGAAATAAAACAACAAATTGTGACAAAATACCTCATGTTACCATCTGATGAGACAAAATGAAATAAAATAATAAAATTTTAAACTGTACCTGTTTTCTCACATGAGGACTGGGAACCGACATCACACAGCAGCGTTTGTTCTCTCTTATTATCTGTCACGTTACACTTAAATAACTCATAATAGTTTGACTTCTGATTGAGATGAGTTGTAAATGTCACCTTTGATGAACAGACAGTATCTAATGTTTCCAACACATTCTTATCTTTTTCATCATACAGCCACTTCACTGTGTGTCCACAGCGTCCATATGTCAACACAGCACAGATCAAGATGACTGTATCATTGTACTGTTGTTTCTCAACTGGTGAAGATGGAGATATTGTGAGAGAAAGACAACAAGAATAAAATGAACTTATGTAACATTATGAACATTATGATGTAAATACTCACATTATGATGTAAATACTCACTGTCAATAACAGACAGCTCAACCACAGAGCCTGAACCTTGTTGTTGTCCTGATATAAACTGTCTGCAGGTGTAACGACCAACATCCTCGACTGTGACCTTCTTTATAACCAGAGAACAGTTCACTGTAACACTCAGTCTGTCTGATATATCTTTGGAAATCCCAGTTTGACTAATCTTCCCAAGAGTAACCAGCTCTCTTGCTGTTCCCCCAGATGACCCCCAGATAATCCAAGTGGTACTGTCACATTTGTTCTGATTTTTAATCACATTTTCACAAGGCAAAGTGACTTCATCTCCAACTCTGACAGTGAAGGAAGAGTTTTGTCCAGTTACTGCTGTTGAAGATGAAAGATAATTATAAAAAAGTTACTGTCAAAGAATATGACATTTGTGTTCATAGTTACATATGAAGATAATATTAAATACATAAACAATAGCAAATGTGCCTTATACAAGAGTCCACTCAACGTAGGATGTTCAAAACACACAGCACACACAGCTGTCTCAAACATAAATTAATTAGTTGAGTTAGTTGCTTCACTAGGCCTACAATTAGTAATGTTTTTTAATGTTTCTTTTAGCCATCTGTGTATATATATCCTTACCTGTAAACAGAACCAGTATCACAAACAAAGACATTTTAATCCATCTGAACGGAACCATCTTGCTTCTCTCTCTCTCTCTCTTGTTCTCACGCTCTTAACTGTCAAAGTTTCTGAACTAATGCTTCTTATTGACAGATATAGCATTTACTTCCTGTTATTAGTAGTGTGTTACTTCCTTATAATGCATTTTTATTAGTTTGTTGGATCTATGCTCATTGCTTTTGCTTTACACTTGTGACAATGGACATCCTGAAAAGCTGAGTAGGAGGACAGGAAGTTGAATTGGAAATGCAATTTTGAGTCTATGGCCCTAAAATACAGCTAAGGAATTAATTAATGTTGATGTTTTAACAACAAACAGACAAACAGACTCCTTTGTGAGGTGTAAAATGGTGGTGCAACCGATGACATTTTAGTGGTTTTAGAATAGTTGGTTCCTCATTGCTGCTTAGTATTCTTTTCTGAGAAATAAGGGAGGAGTGTTTTCACATGCATGTGATCACAACAGCAGCAGCAGCAGAGGTCTGGAGGTTTTACCCTAATGGTGCAGTCCTAGTGCAACCCACTCGTTTAAACGTGTGCCCGCCCTGCTCCGCTGTTTCCTTATTTAGTCTTGGTTTGGCATTTCCTGGTTGTACCAACAGCTGTTCAGAAGGTCGCTGGTACTTGATCAGCTGCCTATTTATATAGATGTATCACAAGCTTGCACAGTTTTGTGATCCATTTTGCTGGAACAGTTTTAATATCATACATACACATAGTGTGGAAGACACACAACTTTTAGCATTTTCAAATTATTCTGTAGCTTTAACATAGTTTACATATCCAGTACATGTATACGGTATATCTGTAAATAAATAAGCCTCTATTGTGATTCTTTTTCTTTTTCTTCTTTACCTTGTCCGAAACATTAATCCTTGAACTACCACCCAACAGTACATACATCATAGTACAATAAGGTGCCTGACTCCAAGTTCATTGAATGATGGGCTATCACGTTTACATAGTGGTAATAACTTAGCTTACTCCCCCTTCTGGACAAAAAGCGTTTACAGAAGGGTGAACACATGTTAAAAACAAACTGCAAGATTATAATACTAGAAAATAACAGTGAGTTAAAGAGATTAAATATTGTCCAACATTTGGATTACGTGGACATTTTATTCACAATACAGTATCAATAAAGCAAAGTTAGTGAATAGTTAAATTCAACCCATTCTTACAAAAACAACTTTGTTTTCACAGCAGAAAGCTTTTAGTAATGAAGTATAACTATAAAATGAATGCAATGATATTAAATGTAACTATATAATGTTAGATTTTGGTTAGTTGATGGTAGCATAAAGGTTGCTGTGTATCAGCAGAGGCTCAAGCAGAAGAGGAGGATGCTTTCACAGTGTTGGAGGTCACTGCTTCACCACCACCCAGAACCTATAGGACACAAGTGACACAGTACCAGACATGAGTGACACACAGTGAGGCAACATGATGAAAGATAACACAATGCAGAGGAGCATCTAATATAACGCTTAATATTGCTATGTAAGCAAACCGGCTGCCATAGCAACACAGGCGAAGGGAGTGTGACGTCAGACCCTACTGAGGATAACTCCAATATATCTTTACATAGTAACAACAAATTGTTGTTTGCTCCTACTAATGTTTTAAATCTAGTATATATATATATATATATATATATATATATATATATATATATATACATATATATAACCTTTAAAAGCACATAATAGCAACACTACATAAACACAGCACACCGCAACATCATAAAACGTAATAAAACACAAAGATCATCACATACAACACAACAAACATAGCTCACCATTTAACAGAGACCAGATTTAAGGGTAAAACAGAGGATGATATCTTTCATACATTCATTTTTTTATATATATATTGACTACCAACACTGTTATGACAGACAGCTTACCTGGGCTTTACAGTGGGTCTTCTAGCTAATGGAGGTGTAGGAAACATCATCTTCAGGATCAACCTACAGAGTGAAGACAACATATAATGGCTGCTCAGTAACATGGATTATACTGACTCACAGTCAAACTTTTATTCTAGTGTATCTGAGTCAATATTTTAACCGTATCCAGGAGTTCATGTTGTGTGTCCTGTATCTGCCAAAAAGTTTGTCTGTTTGCATATTAATATTTCACTTTTTCTTCTTATTCTAGATATGATGTTTATATTTAACAAGAGAAACCAAGGACCGGGGAACTGGTAGGGCCTGAATCCTACCTACTTTAGAACATCAAATATCTAAAAAAATAATAACTAAATAAACTAGAATTCTTCAGTAGCCACTTACTTTCATTAAACAGTCTATGGTAGCCACATATTTCATACTCTGTGACCACAGCCTATGAGAAAGCAATACATTCCGCTATCTAAGAATCTATTGGCCAACTGTGTCACGTGATGTAAATAAAACTTTTTCCATTCAGACTTGGTGGCCTGGTGCTGCAGAAGTGCAACAACTCAAGGCTTCAGTCTATGTTAATCTATTCTGGTGTAGTCGAATTGCCCTATCGCCTCATACAGTTATATTTTGGGAACCAAAGACAGGTTTCAGAGTGTACTGGGTGTAGTGTGTGACCTGACTGCGCCCTGACTGGTTTCTGGAACAGACTGAGTCCCTGCAGGGTTAGAGGTCAATTCCTGGAAAAATACAGTCCAGTTACAGTGTTCCATTTAAAGCTAGTGTACGTAAAGTATTTCACAAGACTGTTTTCTTATATTTGTTGAAATTCTCTTCACATCAAGACAGAAATCAATAAATCAAAAAGTCTAATAATCTGGTATCTATAGAAGTCACAACATACATTTTCTTGGCCTTCTCCTGCCTTAATTAGAGAGTGACAGCCGAAGATAGACAGGAAAGGGGGGCAGAGAGAGAGGGGACGACATGCAGCAAAGGGCCGCAGGTCGGACCCGAACCCGGGCCGCTGAAGCAACTCTGTACATGGGTAACCAGTTCTACCAACTGAGCCAACCGGGTACCCCCCAACCTACATTTCTAGCTCCACATTTGTGTTAGGGCAGTGTCTTTGGAGGGAGACCTGAAGGGACAGGATGGGATTTTTTCATTTGGATGAATGACATGTATTCTATTCTAAAACATAAGTACGTCAGTAAGTTCAAATATCTATTTCCTCCCAAATATTCAATTCAATTATACGTCTGATATGGATTTTTTCAAGAGATTCATACCTTTGTGTTTTCACTGAGCTTTGCAGCAACCAACTATGAATTTAATACAGTGAGTTTATTCTGAAACCACATTTAGTGATTGTGAAGACCTACCAAACTGTTTCTTGAAAATTGACTGTGTAAACATTTGATTATTAAGGTTTAAAACTCACAATGTGTTCATCCATCTGTGTTCTGTTCCCTGAAAAGACAAAGGAGAGCTGTGTTTAGTTTCCACTGTGAAAATCCAGGTTTATCCACACGACTTGTTTCATCTGTGAATGTTCTCACCTTTAGTTTTTGTCCATATGTTGACCGCTACAACAATTGTTAGGAGTGCTGCTAAACCCACAGACACAATGAGGAACCTCCACCAGTCTGAAACGAGAATAAAAACATTGAAACATCTTTTTCATGGCCACTTTATTTTCTCCTTTGCAGTTGAGCTGCAGTTTTGAAAATGCTTCTTTTCTTTTCTTTTTTTTTTCTCTACCAAATTCAATCCAATCCCTATGTACAAGAGATTAAAAATACCAACAGTCACAGTAAGGATAATTAAAAAAATGTGCAACCATGTGCAGAATTCTTTGTGTGAATTTGTGTAGATAAATAAGTGAGCAACAACAAGGTTTGAGACTCCAATGTGTAGATAAGATAATATCTCCACCTACAGCCATGTGTTGGTCTGATAGTTATACGTCTATACTATAGAGAGAGACAGTGAGAGAGACAGTGAGAGAGAAAGAGAGAGAGAGAGTGAGAGAGAGAGGGAGAGAGAGAGAAAGAGAGAGAGAGACACACTACCTTGTTGTTCCTCTTCAGTCTCCACTAAGATGCTTCCTGTTGATATGACAAGACAAAACGCAACAAATGGTGAAACAGTACCTCATGTTTACTATCTGAAGAGACTTAATGAGAAAGAATAATTACATTTTAAAAACTGAAATTATTGAAATAAAACCAACTGTACTAATTTTAAACTGTACCTGTTCTCTCACATGAGGACTGGGGACCAACATCACACAGCAGCGTTTGTCCTCTCTTATCATCCGTCATGTTACACTTACATAACTCATAATAGTTTGACTTCTGCTTGAGATGAGGAATTGTAAATGCCACACTGGATGCACAGGTATACTGTGATATCTCAGTGTCAATCTTATCATCATCGTCATCATACAGCCACTTCACTGAGTGTCCACAGCCTTCATATGTCAACACAGCGCAGAACCAAATGACTCTCTCATTCGTCTGATGTTCAGTCACTGGTGAAGATGGAGATATTGTGAGAGAAAGACAACAAGAGTAAAATGAACTTCATCACTATAATCATAATTATTGTAATGTTTCAGTATTTTGTTCTAACAAGAGTTTGAGCTGAAAACATTATGATATAAATACTCACTGGTAATAACAGACAGATAAACCACAGAGTCTGGACCTTGTTGTTGTCCTGATATAAACTGTCTGCAGGTGTAACGACCAACATCCTCGACTGTGACCTTCTTTATAACCAGAAAACAGTTCTCTGTAACACTCAGTCTGTCTGATTTATCTTTGGAAATCCCAGTTTGACTAATCTTCCCAAGAGTAACCAGCTCTCTTGCTGTTCCCCAAGATGACTTAGTGGCAATCCAAGAGGTACTGTCACATTTGTCCTGATTTTTAATCACATTTTCACAAGGCAAAGTGACTTCATCTCCAACTCTGACAGTGAATGAGTTTTGTCCAGTTACTGCTGTTGAAGATGAAAAAATAATATAAAAAATAACTGTGAAAACAACATGACATTTGTGTTCATAGTTATACATGCAGATGATATTAAATACAACAATCAACTCAACAAACTATGTCCAAAACAAACTGCTGACATGTTTTATTTAAAGTTAGTTAAATAGGCTTCCAATTAGTAATGTTTTGTCTTGTTTCTCTTAGTCATCTGTATATATATATATATATATATCCTTACCTGTAAACAGAGCCAGTATCACAAATAAAGACTTTTTGATCCATTTGAATTGAACCATCTTGCTTCTATCTCTCTATCTCTTGTTCTTACGCTCTTAACTGTCAAAGTTTCTGAACTAATGCTTCTTTAAGAGAGATTCACTTCCTGTTATGAGTAACAGGTCACTTCTTCACAATGACTTGAATCTTAGAAAGAAAAAAAAAAAAAAACTTATCTCACATGAGAAATCTTCATAGTACTCAGATCTGAATCTGGGTTGTTGGAGTTGACAGTGAATATCTCTACTCAACCACCATCCAAAACCAGTTGTCCACTTCACTAAGTACCTCCTGTCTATAATTCAAGCATTCAAGGATTAAAGGTTATATTATTTTCAATGGTAGGTTGTTAAACAGAATTTTGATATAATACCCTTTATTATTGATTACGTCATAAAAAAAAACCTAATTTGGATGATGAAATATTGAGGAAGAATTTATCAGTCTCTCAGCCTGAAGGAAGCAGCTGTCTTTAAGCTTGTGTACCTCATATGGCAGCGGGGTGAACAGACAGTGGCTGTTGTGGTTATGGTCTTTTAGTATCCTTTGGGCTCTGAGCAGGCACCTCATGTTACCGATATCAACGGGTTCCCACGGTTCTCCCACTGTGCACTGGGATAGTATTTGCATTTTAAGAACTAATTCTCAGCACAACTGACAATTTTAGAAGACACAAGCTGATAGTTTTCACTCATTTCATACTCATTGATTGATTTTGTATTATAATTTGTAGGAATGTTGTTTATGACATCCTAAAAAGACGAGACAGGCGAGAGGAAGTTGAGGTAAAAAATGCGTAGTGATGTTTCACGTCACACATTCATGAAACAATATGTTGCTATTTACGTAGTTTTAGCATTTTTCGTTCCTCATTGCAGCTTAAAATTCTATCTGAGAAATGAGTTGTAAATATGTTGATGTGCATGTGGGTACAACACCGTCAGAGCTCTGGAGGTTGATCTGGAACAGTTAACAATTTATCACATGATGCTCTGACTCATGTGGAAAATTTATTTTATCCTTAAAGTTTTGGAGTCACTCAATCTGTGTTTGCTGATAGACAATAAATTATTTAACATATTTATCCTGAGCATGTAGCTCCGATGGTTTCACTCTGATTGTTTTCTTCTTTTTTAAGCATGCAGCATTTGTCTAACATACAACCAAGTTATGATAGTACAAATGCGTGTGTGTTTGGCAGACATTATTATTATTACACCTTGACTCATGTGACAAGTAATTTCTAAACTTGTCTCATGATAGATGTATATACATATATATATATATATATATATATATATATACATCTATACATCTATACATATATATGTATGTATGTATGTATGTTAAATATTGTAGTTGTAATAAACTGAAACATGCTTTAAAAAGATAAAAATACAATAATGACAGAAAGTTCACTAAGCGAAATGTATCATATTTATGTTGCAATCAGCCATATGCATGTTGGGCTATTACTTTTAAATTGTAGTACCTTAACTTAAATCTTCCCCTTCTGGACAAAAAGCTTTTTTACAGCAACAAGGGAAAGAAAGGGGAACACCTGGTTGTGCTAAAAACAAAATTTCAACATTATAATACAAGAAAATAGCAATGAATTACACAAAATGAGGATTAAACATAAAATACTGTCTAACATTTGGATTTCATCGACAATTTCTCCACAAGAATCAACACAGTCAATCCATGGTCACTTTTTCAATAAACATTGACAAGATTTTACGATGAAGAATTCATGTAAAATAATAACTCTATGTCTAGGTTAGTTGATGGTAGCATAGAGGCTGTTGGGGTCAGCGGAGGCTCCAGCAGACGAGGAGGGCGCCCTCACAGTGCTGTAGGTCACTGCCTCATCACCACCCAGAACCTATAGGACATAAGTGACACAGTACAACATGTGCAGAGCTCAGGACAAGAGAGGAGGACGCGGACTCTGTGTTTACATCGATAATGCTCGGTGTCCAAACGCAGTCAAAGTGGATGGACTGGAAGATGATACAACATTATCAGCACTATATTGTTACTGCTGTTTCAAATTTCCCCTGAAACAAATTCAAAAAATGCACTGCAGAATTATTATTCTGCATAGTTATGGGTGTATATGTACATGTGTATATGTATATAAATAACTGTATATGTAGTTTTATTTGATTTATTTTACATCTTAACCAATTCTGAGATAAATTCAATTATGTGTTATGTTCTACATGTGTAGCATGAAGGGACTATGAGCTTTAGTTTCATTGTACAACCTTATGTTGTATAATGATAAATAAAATTACCTTGGTTTAAAAAAAACCAGTGCAATGCACGGCAACTCAGTGTAACACAACAAGGCAAACATATCACCCCAATCACAAGATTATAAGGGATTTAAAAGTAACATTTATATATTTTTTTCTTCATTCACTACCAACACTACTATGACATCTTACCCGGGCTTTACTGTTGGTCTTCTTGGTGAAGCTGATGGAGGCATAGGAAACACCATCTTCAGGATCAGCCTACGCAATGAAAACAACATCATGACTATACTCAGTAACATGTGGACTCACTCTCAAACCTTTATTCTAGTCTATCACAGTCAATATTTTATCTTATTTTACATTAGCCAGGAGGTCATGTTATGTGTCTTGTGTCTGTCTCAAAATGTTGTGAAAAGTCTTGTTTATCACATGTATTTGGCTTTGAGCCTTCTCCTGGTTTTGATTCAAGGTTGTAACTCTCTCCCAACTCGTCAAATACTGCCGCTTGGTCCCGGATTTCAAAGTGGATTTTCTGTTTAAAACTGTGTGATTGCCCTCAACAAAACTAAAATGTGGTCCTAACTTCAACATGTCACAAAACACACATTTGTGTAATCATTTTGATGATTTATTTCAGTTGTAGGTTGATAATTTTGGTGTAGTTGAGTCACACTTTTCCTTCCCCTTTTTTCTTTCTTAGAGGCAGGTGAGAGTCTATTTCATGAAGTTATATTTTGGGGAACAAAGACAGATTTCAGTGAGTGTAGTGAGTGTAGTGTGTACTCTCACTGCGGCTTGACTGGTTTTTGGAGCGGTCTGAGTCACTGCAGGATCTGAAGTCAATGCCTGGGCAAACAGATGCATGTATTACACAGTATCCGTATGTGTTTCATTGTCCCAGGTAATACATGTTGTGTTGATTCTCAAAACACTTCAACTCTACTGCAGTCCAGCAGATAAATATATATTCTCTTGACAAAATGCAATCAAATAATAAATAAATAAATACTGTGAACTCTGATGGTATTTTGTAGGCCGAAACTTACACTCAGAAGGTATGGTTCTGGTTGTATATGACTGCATTATAGGTGTACTTAAAGGCGGTTC